CTAACCCTAACCCTAACCCTAACCCTAACCCTAACCCTAACCCTAACCCTAACCCTAACCCTAACCCTAACCCTAACCCTAACCCTAACCCTAACCCTAACCCTAACCCTAACCCTAACCCTAACCCTAACCCTAACCCTAACCCTAACCCTAACCCTAACCCTAACCCTAACCCTAACCCTAACCCTAACCCTAACCCTAACCCTAACCCTAACCCTAACCCTAACCCTAACCCTAACCCTAACCCTAACCCTAACCCTAACCCTAACCCTAACCCTAACCCTAACCCTAACCCTAACCCTAACCCTAACCCTAACCCTAACCCTAACCCTAACCCTAACCCTAACCCTAACCCTAACCCTAACCCTAACCCTAACCCTAACCCTAACCCTAACCCTAACCCTAACCCTAACCCTAACCCTAACCCTAACCCTAACCCTAACCCTAACCCTAGCTGATGCCTCAACCCTAGCCACACTCCATTTCTCCCCACCGACCACCACCCACTCCACTTGCCACTCACTGGTCCCTTGGCACCCGTACTCATCCCATCCATGACCCACATCCACTTTCCCACCCACCCCACCATATTCATCCTCCACCCTACCGTGTGCATGGCTGTTCATGGGCCTGAATTGAGTCTTTGATGCTGATCGACAATCTCCATCCCCCATTGACACTTGCCCGTGTCACACGTTTGGTCGGGTCGCATGTGCGGGTTGGTTGTGACATGAATGTCATTCAACATTTTCATGATTCGCCACTCGTCACTTGTTCGATTGTTTGACATTGAGTTGATTGTCATTGATCATTGTCAATTGATCATTCGATTGTCTCTGCTTCTTTTGTTGTTGGCTGTCCATGTTCCTTGTTCTTAGCTGTTCATGTTTCGACATGCTTTGTTGTTACTATTGCCTGCCCTCATGTTGTGCTCTGGCTGCTTTTGCCTTTTATGCTTGACCGTAATCGACATGCATTCTCATCGATCATTGCCTTTGCTCTTGTTGTTGCTTTGTATCATTATTCGTCATGCTTCAATTGTTCTTGATTCTCCTGTTTTCATCGACCTTGACTTCCACATCCACCATCGTTCTTGCTCACTACACTATCGATTCTCAACTTTGTTGTCGTTTGTCGTGGTCATTAGTTGTGCATGCATTTTGTGTTGATTGACCCTGTTGTGTGGTGGTCATGGTTGATCTGCAGATCTGATCGATCAACCGCGCCCTGCCTCATCGACCTGAACGTCACCCGAGTCCATCCCATTGCCTGCCAGCCATATCCAATTCCTATTGGCGTACTCATACGTGTGCTGTGCAAGCTATGTATGATCATTGGTTGTTGTTGTGGACGTCATTGCCTCGTTTGATGCTGGTTCCGGCTTTTCTACAATTAATTCAACGTTCAACTCAATTAACGTCCGCCGCCTTCCCTCTGCCGGCCAAGTACCCGCCGCCCCTATCGCCCACACTCCACACACATCCATCAGCCGTATCATACTAACCTTCATCAATGCTGAAGCCCAATCTCCATACCTACTACCATTTCGCCCGTCACGACCCCACGTCACGACCCCTCTCATCCCCCCGTACCATTCTCATTACCACCCGTCACCACCAACCACCACCCGCACCCCCTACTTCACCACAATCACTATCATTCCAGCCACAATCACAACCACCTTGCCTTGGCCATCCTCACCACCATCCCATCGCGCACTCGGCTTCCTCTTCCTCCTCCTCCTCCTCCTCTTCCCGCTCCAGCTCACCCCCATCCTCTTCCTGACACCCATACCCCTCAACCATCACATGTCATCTTTCTGCCTATTCACCAACCAACAGCAATCTCGAGCCATCCAGCCTCGACCCTCTGCTGCCCCTGCCTCGCCGACCACCAGCCGCCAGCCGCCGCCCGCTCGCCCGATCAGGCCCACCTTCATCACCACCTAGCTCCCACCCACCATCAGCTACGCAACCCGCGTTCACGCTCAAGGTCATCACCCGCCGCATACTATTACCAGTACAAATATCGCTGTCGTCCATACCCATCGACCTCGGCTCATTTCCGCGTCGACTTGTTTGCCTAGGTGGTTGAGCACGTCCTCGACCGCCCGACCCCGCACATGCCCCCCACCAACCTCATTGCAAGATATGGCCAATCTGATTGCACTACTACTCTACTACATGCCCACACTACCCCCTTGCACAGTCTCCAATCCACAACTGCCGTATTCCGGAATCCGAGTTCTGCCACCTGAGGCCCAAGTTGTTGTCCTGGTGTCGTTTCGATGTTGCTGACCCCCCTCCCCGGGCCCATCTCCGACCCCCACTCCCCAACCTGTCCACCCACAACCATCACACCCACACCACACGTACTCACCACCCCTGCAAACATAGCCACCCACTCCCTGCCCGCCAATATTCACATCAGCCGACGCCAACCCGTCAACAGCATCGCTGCCGACCGCCTGCTGCTCGCCGCCGACCGCCGCCCGCCGCCGACCGACCATCGCCGGCACCACCGAGAGCAAGCTCGCCATCGACAGGGCATTGGAGACGATGCATGGAGATAGCCAGATCATTAGCAAAGACTACCAGTGCGCCCTCCAACCCAATCCTCCCCTCCCTCCTCCGGCCTCGCATCACAGCCCTCGCCGTCCTGGTTCGCCACCCGCCCCTGCTGCCGATCATCGAGCCAGACGACAAAGCCACCGGGCTGGCCAAGACAAGGAAGAACAAGAGAGGGCAAGTGCAAGCGATAGGCAATGCAGTGGCGGGCTAGAGTGCAGTGGTCTGCCTCCTCGTCCAATCCCAAGCCATCGTCTCCATCGACGTCCATCTCAATCCAATCCGTCCGCCCTCCTCGCCCCTTGCCGCCCAAACCCCTCCACCGTCATCACCCACACGTCACACACAGCCATCAGCCGTATCATACCCACCCACATCAATCCGCAAACCCAATCGCCATACCCAGCACCCCTCCGCCGCCACGCCACCGACGTCACGACCCCCCTCATCCCCCCTACCATTCTCATTACGTCCGATCACCCCCAACCACCACCCGCACCCCCTACTCCACCACCATCACTATCATATTAGTCACAACCACCACCCACATGCGTTGGCCATACCCACCACCATCCCATCGCACACTCGCTTCCTCTTCCTCCTCCTCCTCCTCTCCTAGCTCCATCACATCCCCTTCCTCACCCCCGACCCCGACACGCATATCCCTCAACCATCACATTCCATACTGCCCAGTCACGAATCAACAGCAATCGCAAGCCACCCAGCCCCGATCCCGCCCCCTCAGCTGCCCCCACCTTGCCGACCACCAGCCGCCCAGCTATCGCCCGCTCGCCCGATCAGCCCACGTTCATCACCACCTAGCTCCCACCCACTACCAGCTACGAAACCCGCGACTACATTCACGGCCATCACTCACCTCGCACCACCGTCAGTACCACCATCGCCACCATCCACTCCCCATCGTCTTCGGCTCATCCCACGCAACGACTTGTTGACCCCGTCTCCCGTCATCGCGGCTTACCGCTCGCTCCCCGAGCTCATCCTCGCCCTCCATGGCCCATTATCGCGACCACACACATGCGCAGTCCCTGCAAACATGAACATCCACTGGTCTCGTGCGCATACACGCCTCATCTTATGCTATCGCCGTCACCACCTCCACCCGTAATCTCCCTCTGTCTTCACTGAAACATACCAAGGGAAACAACAAGAGTGGAGAGTTCTGTTGATTGCTGTGTCGGCCATGTCGACTATCATACCCTTGCCTTGTCAACCTACTCATCTCCCTCTCGTTCCCTATCTTCTCAAATCCGCGGCCTGGCCATCCGGTGGCCGCCCACCTGTCGCTCAAGCCCACACGGCTGTCAAGCCTCTCCAGTCCATTCTCGACCACTACTACGCCCGCTCTAGCAGAGCGCGCGTGTGGCAAGGTATAGCTACTCGAGCTTTAGGTTGATGGGCCTGCAGGGTTGACCATCTCGGCCACCAGGTTGGCCGCGCGATTAGCAACATCGGCTAATGCGCGGGACGGCGAGGTGGTGTGCCAGTTGTGGGTTTCGGCGCCGTAGTTTTCCAGGGCGTAGACGGTGGCAACATGATCGGCCTTGCGGGCGGGCGTGAGCTCGGGGTGGCGCCAGAGTCCGTACTGCTCTGCATGGTCGGGCGATAAGAACGAAGCGTCCATGATCCTGAGCACGAGGTGCTGCGGGTCGGCCGTATCGACGTCAGCGGCGTGACGGAGCGTATTGGGCGAGATGTCGCTACAGATAAAGACTGGAAGTAGCTTACAACGGCCTGCATCGGCTTCAGCGAGGGCAGCTTTGGCCTCTGCGATGGCCCAATGTGTGACCATCATGTGCTTGGATACCAGGACGATGACGACACGCGAGGCGCGGACATGATCAGCAAGATCATCGGGGTACTCGCAGCGCTCACCGTCAAGCGACTTACTGTCGAGGAAGACGCAGAGTCCGCGGGCGGTGAGGTCGTCGTAAAGATCGAGGGCGGCGCCCTTGTCACCGCCGCCATGGCAAATGAACACGTCCCAACGCTTGAGGCTATGCTTTTGCTCCTCAGCTTCGATGATCTCGAGCTTGTCGACCACCGCCGTCATTCCCGGTCGTTGCGCGGGGCTAGCACTCCAGCACTTGCGAGCAAGCGCAACGTACACCTCCGATGCTCCCATGGAAGGCTCAAACTCTGGCCGTATCTCATCTTGCAACACCGCTTGCCGGATGCCCCGCTCATCGAGACCAGTACCCTTGTATGGGTACGATCCCGCGGCCAGCTCCCACATCACAACACCAAACGAGAACACATCTGCTTCCTTCCCGTACGTGTTCTCCTTGCCTGATACCATCACTTCCGGCGCCATCCAGCGGAACGTGCCTGCATTGGTCGTTGCCACGCCATTGCCCTTGAGCTTTGCCAGTCCAAAGTCCGCTACCTTCAGACGCATCCGTCCGCTCGCTCCGCTTAGGAGTAAGTTCGGTGACTTCATGTCGCCATGCACTACGCCTTTGCTGTGCAGATACGCCAGTCCGCGTGCAGCATCCAATGCAAGGGCTGCGGCGACCTGGGGAGGAAAACGGCCGTACCGCTCGTGGTAGTCGAAGAGCGAGCCGCGCTCCATCAGCTCAAACACAAGCGCAGGTCGCGGTCCGCTGTGATTTGTCGCAGGCATCATCGACAGCCCGAGAAACTGCACAATGTTCGGATCACGCAGCTTACCCAGCAGGACCGCTTCGTCTTTCAGTGAATGTTGCAGTGCTGATACATCCGCCTCGGGCGCTAGCTCCTGCGTGAACAGCACCTTGACCGCCACTGGTGTCTTGGCCCGCAGGCCACGGAAGACGCGTGCGTGCGCACCATGGCCGAGCTCGTCCTCCTTGAACACCTCCAAGTCATGCATGGCAACACGCTCGTGGCTCGATGGCGCAGCAGTGGTGGGCATGTTGTTGGACTCCAGACCTGGCTGGGTGTTGGAGTACACGTAGAGCCAGGGTTCCGGTTTCGGTGGAGTGGGTGTGTCGAGGAGGAACAGCGCAACGTCGTTGCCACGCAGTGCGGCATGCAACGGCGTCTCGCCTCCATTGTTTTCCTGATGGATTCGAGCCCTTCCCTGCGTCACCAACACTCGCGAGATATCGACATGGCCGTGAGCTGCTGCGACGTGGAGCGCTGTGTTCCCGTTAGAATCAACCGTGTTGGCAGCAGCGCCGAATCGGAGCAGGTGGACGACTACTTCGGTGAGGCCGGCAGCAGTTGCATGCATCAGTACTGTTTGGCCATCGTGAAACGATTCAAGTGGTGCTCCCGCGGCAATGAGGGTGCTAAGAAGATCCAAATCAGCCTTGAGGGTGGCGCCGAGAAGAGGAGCATGACCATCAACGGTGGCGGTCTGGACGGCGCGAAGGAAGTTGATGATGCGGGTGTAACCACGCATACTAGTGACGTCCAGTGGCTGAGCATCGACAAAAGCCCGTAGAGCTTGTGTACGTGTGGGGATGACCTTGGCACCACCTGCAGCCACAAGACAAATGACTACCTCCAGGTGGTTGTGTTGCGCAGCGACGTACAACGGCGTGCCTCCGTTGTTTTTGGCCTTGTCGACTGCTGCCCTGCCTCCGTTCACCAGCCATCGCACCATATCCAGTTGACCCTTCGCGGCAGCGACATACAGCGGCGTGGCTCCGTTCTTCAAAGCCATGTCGACCGCCGCCCTGCCCTCGTACACCAGCCATTGCACTGCATCCAGACAACCCATCTCGGCAGCCATGTACAGCGGCGTGACTCCGTTGGTCAAGGTCGTGTTGACCGCCGCCTTTCCCTCGCCCACCAGCCACTCCGCAACATCCAGGTGACCGTTATGCGCAGCAATGTACAGCGGTGTGGCTCCGTTGTTCAAGTCCTTGTCGACCGCCGCCTTGCCCTCGCCCACCAGCCACTTCACAACATCCAGGTGACGGTTATGCGCAGCGATGTACAGCGGTGTGGCTCCGTTGTTGCTAGCCTTGTCGACCTCCGCCTCGCCCTCGCTCACCAGCCACTTAACCACATCCAGATGACCGCTTCGCGCAGCTATGTACAGTGGCGTGACTCCGTTGGTCAAGGTCATGTTGACATCCGCCTTGCCCTCGCCCACCAGCCACTTCACAACATCCAGGTGACCGTTATGCGCAGCAATAAACAGCGGTGTGGCTCCGCTGTTGCTAGCCTTGTCGACCTCCGCCTCGCCCTTGCTCACCAGCCATCGCACCACATCCAGATGACCCATCTCGGCAGCCATGTACAGCGGCGTGGCTCCGTTGTTGTCGGCCTTGCCGACATCCGCCCTGCCCTCGCCCGCCAGCCACTGAACCACTTCCAGGTGCCCGCTATGCGCAGCAAAAGACAACGGTGTGACTCCGTCGTCGTCGGTCTCGTCGACTGCCACCTCGGACTTCTTCACCAGCCACTGTACCAAGCCTAGGTAACCCTGCTTCGCAGCGCTGAGCAAGCACGTGGCTCCGCTGTCCTCGTCTTGGTCAACCTCCATCCCGTATGCGCTCACCAGCCACTGCACCACATCCAGGTGGCCTTTCTCCGCAGCAACGTACAGTGGTGTCCATCCGTTGTTGTTGGCTTTGTCAACCTCCGCCCGGCCCTTGCTCACCAGCCATCGCACCACATACAGATGACCCATCTCGGCAGCCATGTACAGCGGCGTGGCTCCGTTGTTGTCGGCCTTGCCGACATCCGCCCTGCCCTCGCCCGCCAGCCACTGAACCACTTCCAGGTGCCCGCTATGCGCAGCAATAGACAACGGTGTGACTCCGTCGTCGTCGGTCTCGTCGACTGCCACCTCGGACTTCTTCACCAGCCACTGTACCAAGCCTAGGCAACCCTTCTTTGCAGCGTTGAGCAAGCACGTGGCTCCGCTGTTCTTGACTTGGTCAACCTCCGTCCCGTATGCGCTCACCAGCCACTCAACCACATCCTTGTGGCCTTTCTGCGCAGCAATGTACAGCGGTGTGGCTCCGCTGTAGCTAGCCTTGTCGACCTCCGCCCCGCCCTCGCTCACCAGCCACTTAACCACATCCAGATGACCGCTTCGCGCAGCTATGTACAGTGGCGTGGCTCCGTTGTTCAGGGCCTTGTCGACCGCCGCCTTGCCCTTGCCCACCAGCCACTCAACCACATCCTTGTGGCCTTTCTGCGCAGCGATGTACAGCGGTGTCCATCCCTTGTTGTTGGCTTTGTCGACATCCGCCCTACCCTCGTTCACCAGCCACTCAACCACATCCTTGTGGCCTTTCTGCGCAGCAATGCACAGCGGTGTCCATCCCTTGTTGTTGGCTTTGTCGACATCCGCCCCACCCTTGCTCACCAGCCACTGCATCACATCCAGGTGTCCACCCCAGGCAGCAGCCATCGCCGCCGTCCACCCGTCCGTCCGCCCATCCTCCACCCCCACCACCGCACTCCCCACTAGCCACTGCACCACATTCTTCCGCCCCATCCGCGCCGCGCCCGTCAGAGCCGTGTCCTGGTACACAACCCGGTCATTGACCCCGGACACCACTTGATCCTTCACCGCCACGCCACCCTCCACCAGCTCCTGTACCCTCTCCAGGTCTCCCGCGCGGGCCGCACGCACAAGCTCCTGCACCCCGCCGCTCATGTCGTCGGTCGCAATAGTGAACTTGTAGACTGCTTTGTTCTCCCTCCTCGGCTGTGCTCTTGAGAAAGGTGTACCCGCTCCCCCGCCTTTCCCCTTTTTTGTTGACCTACGCTGTCACACTCATGCGGACGGAAGTCACACAGGAAGAAGTGTGCCGGCCTGCTCTGCTGCCAACTCGCGCTGGAAGCAGCAGCCGCAACACAGATGATATTCACACCACAACTACCACGTCTTCCTCGATAGCCTTGACTATCGCTATCTGCTGCCAACCCAGCATCCGAGTGGTCGTCGTCGTCATCGCCATCGCCATCGTCCCCTCCTCCACCCGACGGCTGTGCGACAACGCCATCGTCGCCGTGAGCATCTACCTCTGTCCTCGCCTCTTCCGCTTCGTGGGCTCTGCCCCGTACACTACGGTACAGATCTTGATACCTGCCGATGCATGACGAAACCGTATTGGCTGCGATTGGTCTGGTGCCTGGCCGATCCCCTCCAGCAAAGCGATAGGCTGCGAGGCTGCGATCTGGGCTCGCGGTGCGCGGACAAGCTTCGTCCACGCATTTAATATCTACATCGCCAAGCCCTCCCCTCCCCGCACCGCCGCCTCTGATCACGGTGTGCCAATGTCCGCCATTAACGCAAATTGAGCGCTTCTACCCCGAGCATGTGGTGCACAGGTGTGATGGTGGTCAGCCTTCATTTCGCCCGTTGCGCTCCGTGTCGGCGCTCTGTGTCTGTGCCCGCACAAACGCATCGAACTCTTCCCGGCTTCTGATCCCAGCCTCCCGCAGATCAGCGACGGTGGCCAGGCCCAGATCATCGAGCGCCTGAAACGAGCTCAAGCCCAAGTCGCGCATCGACGCGTTTGTGTGGCCAAAGGCCCCGCCCACCACATAGTACGCCGGCTCGTCGTCGCCCAGCGCCACATCGTCGGCCGAGCCGACCTCTACAAACGCTGACCGCAGCGCAGCCACAATCGATCCAATCGTCCGTGGCTTTGATGGATCGTGGGCGATGAGCGTACCGAGCGCGTTCGCCTGCTCCAGCAGCACGTCGAGCTTCTCGCCCTCTACAGCAATCTCCAGGTGCTTGTACCGTGCCAGCCGCACGAGCGCTGGCCGCAGTCCCGACTGAATCGCCGAATACTCGGCAATTGCCTCCTCCCACTGCTCCTTGCCCACGGCCTTGAACTGCGGAAGCTGCAGCAGCTGCTTGTCGAGCTGTTCCTGGTGTTCCGCCACAACTCGCAGCGCCTTCTGCAACTGATGCGCGCGACGAACAAGGCGCTCGAGCTCGTGCTCCAACGTCGCCACAGACTCGTGCAAGTCGCGCATCACCGCCTGCGCTACAAACGAGGTATGCCGTGCCGACATGATGTCCCTCTACCCTCTCTGATCCGGGTCCTCGCTGCCTCAGGTGCGCGCGCCCAAACCGGGGCAGCCGGGAGTGAGTTGTTTGTCTCCGTTTTGACTCGTCCGCCTTGGAACACTTCTTCCATACCTTCGCCATCACCACAGCACATCAACACCGATTTCTGCTCGCGTCGCTTGTATCGCCATACATGGCCATGCCGCGGCTCGTGACAAACAAATGGCCACCCCATCCCGCCCCCCGCCCGCCGCCCTCGCCCACCCCGGTTGCCGATCCCGCCCTCGCCCTCGCCCACACCACCCCTCTCACACACCCACCCTCCTAGCCTACCATGGCCAGCTCACTAGATGAGTACGACATCTCCCAGGTCGAGGGTAACACACCGTTGTCGAATGCTCAACGAGGAGTACGCACTGCCCTGCTCCTCCCCACATCCCTGACTTGCCCTCTCCTCGCCCGCCGACAGCACACTCACACGTTGCCGTCTCGCAGATGGTTGCCACTCTCTCCGAGTACTGCAAGGACAAGGGCATGGATTTTATGCTCGAGCGCCCCTCGGACGTGCGGCTTGTACTGGAGAACCATGCCTGCAATTGGGACCTTGAGCTGGCCAAGGAGCACGTTGAGAAGCTCGACGGGTGGAACGCTGACGTTGCGCCCGGCGACATCCTCCTCGACGACGTCGCTCCCGAGCTGGAGCAGAACAAGGTGTATTGGGCCGGAACCGATGTCCACGGCCACCCCACTCTTTGGTTCCTCCTCCGCAACCACCGCCCCAATCCCGATGGTCCGGACCGCGACGTCCGCGCCGTCATCTTTATGCTGCACCAGGGCCTGCAACGGATGCGGCTCCCGGTCGAGAAGTTTAACCTTGTCTTTGACCTCTCCAATGCCGCCCGTGCCAACCAAGACCTCACCTTTTTCAAGCGCGTCATCTCTGCTGTCGGCTCGGCCTGGCCGGGCCGGTCCTTTAAGATCTTCATCCTCTCGCCGGGCTTCTTCACCCGCATGATCTGGAACGTCGTCAAGCCGTTTCTCCCGGCCCGCACCCTCGAGCGCATCAAGTTTGTCAAGAACCCGGACCCGGCGCTCCAGCACTGGTTTGCGCCGGACCAGCTCCTTGCCCGCTATGGAGGCTCAGTAACGAATGTCTACGACTACACCACCGCCGCCGCCACAGACTTTCCCATCGGGCTCGACCTCTCCCCGCCGCCGGCATCGCCCAAGCTCGCAGCACGCGCACCAGCGCTCGCCGTCTCGCCGTCAAATGCCTCGACATGTCTCTCGGACTGGACCGACGACTCGTGTGAGCCGCAGTCCGAGTACGACGAGCCAAGCTCGTACTCGCCGTCGCCTCCGGCCGAGCACCGCCACAGCCCCACCGCGCACGACCTCGCCGTCTCGCGCCGCCTCGAGCGCCTTGCCCACGCTACTGACAACTCGTCGCGGGCGCTTGATGAAGCCGAGACTGAGCTTGCCGCGGTCCGCAAACGCCTGGCCGACTTTGAGCGGACCCTCGACGAGCGCGAGTCCCGGGCGGCGGACGGTGGATGCTGCTCGCTCATGTGATGCTCGCACAACACTATGCCATGCCTGTTTTACTCACCGAGCTCCGCACCACGCCGCAAGCCGGTCCATGCCACGGACAACCTTGGGTGCCACAGCCGCCACGTCGACGTGCCCGGTTGCGGCGTATGCGTCAAGAGCGGCGGCGCCGTCAAAGTCAACAAACGCGAGCCGGAGCGAGAGCTCGTCGTGTGGGACAGAGAACGGCGCACCAGGCAGCATGGCGACGCCCGTCTCGGCCAGGATGGTGTGCGCGAGCTCGACATTGGTCGAGATGCCCTTGGCGTCAGCGAGCCACTCGCCGTGCGCGTCGTTGAACGACGGGAAGACGTAAAAGCCGCCATCAGGCTTCGGCGTCGCCATACCGGCCGCGTTGGCAGCGTCGGCCACGTAGCCGCCGACCGCCTTGAGCACCGCCCGCGAGCCCTCGAGGTACGCTGCCAGCGGCTCGGACGCCTCGCCTGGGTACGCCGCTGTCGCCGCGTACTGGATCGGCGCCGACGTCGCCGAAAACGTCTCCGACGCCACCACATGCATGGCATCGCGGAGCCACCGGAGCTCGCGCGGGAAGCAAAAGTGGCCCAGTCGCCACCCGCCGGCGCCCGCCCACTTGGACAGTCCGTCCGAGACAATGGTGCCCTCCGGGTACGCGCTCGCCAGCGACGCGTGCTGCCCGGTGTGGTGGACCTTGCCGTAGATCTCGTCCGCAAGCACAATGACGTTGTGCTTGCGGAAGACGCCCGCGAGCGCTTCCAGCTCGCTTGCCGAGTACGAGAGCCCCGTCGGGTTCGACGGGTAGTTGAGGATGAGGACCGAGGCGCGGGAGTCGGTCCCGGGCTTGCCCACAAAGTGCGCCTCGGCCACCTCGGGCGTCAGCTTCCACCCGTCAGCCCGTGCCGTCGGCACCACATCGATCGCCCGCCCAGCAATGAGACTCTGCGGAAGGTACGAGACCCACGACGCCGCCGGAATGCTGATGGTGCCCTCGATGGCTACCTGGAGATTGAACAGCAGCTCCTTCGATCCCGGGCCGACCATGATGTCCTCGGCTGCCACCGGGCGCCCGATCCGCCCGGCCATCTCGCTTGCCACGCAGGCTTGCAGTGCTGCCAGGCCCTGCACCGCCTCGTAGTCCTTCTGCGCCGCGTGCCGCTGCAGAGCCTCCACAAGCTCGCCCGGCACCGGAAACGGCGACTGGCCAAAGCCAAACCGGACCACATCCTCGCCGGCCGCCACCTTGGCCGCGCTCAGCTCGTTGATCGCCAACGTCGGCGACTTGCCCAGCCCCTGCACAGCCTTGGCAATCGGAAAGTTTGCACTCGACGTCCCGCTGCCCGCCGCCACCCCCATCAGCGCCGCATGCTCGGCCGAGCCAGCCTCTGACGCGTAGCCGCGACAGACAGCCCCCGCCACCGTGGTCGCCACAACTCCAGCATGCACGCCACGTCCAAGTCCACCAATGCGCAGCATTTTGTTCCTCTCTCTGTGCTCTCCGTCGACAAGTATACTCCTTCAAAGCCCCGCCCTCACCGCCCAGCCCCACACAGGCATGCCCACCCATCGCCACCACCACCACCACGGCCACCACATCACCACCACCTAGCCACGTGGACTGTCCCCCACCGTTCACAAATTTTACCACTACCACCCCCCACCCCCACCCCACACACACAAACACACACCACCACACACCACACTCCCTACATGCCCCTCCACACGCACATGCACACGTCCACACCCACCTCACCATGATATACAGGGTCACGGTCTTCTCCCATGTCACCCTCGGCCCGGTCCACATGACCGACCTCTTCATCCCGCCGCACGTGGCCGACGCCGTCGAGGCCCTCTCGCACATGCTTACCTCGTCGTCGTCGTCCATCGTCTCCTCGGCCTCGCCGCGCCACCACCCGCTTGGCTCGGCTGCCGCGCACGCATGGCACGCGCCGCAGCTCCTCCCGCGAGTGGCAGACGGCAAGTGCAAGCTCGGGTTTGGCTCGGGCGAGGCCGCCGTCGTCGTCGTCACCGCCGCGTCGGGCGCGTTCCCGGCCGAGCGCTACGCCGCGCTCCTTGCCCGGGCCATCGACTCGGACCCGTCGCTCCTCGACGACAAGCCGGCGTTCTCGGCTCGAGTCGCCTTTGAGGCACTTCCGCTCCTCTATCACCTGGTACCGCAGCTCGAGGGCGAGCTGATGCGGGTCAAGCCCGAGCACGTTGAGCTCGCCGAGCTCCTCGACCGCCACATCGACGGCGAGACCTCGCTCGGCATTGTCCTGGCCCTCGCCACGGGCCTCTGCCACCGCAACTGGCGCGGCGAGGTTGTCCCTGCGCCGCCTGCTGCCATTGTTGCCCGCTATCAGGGCATCTACACCCGCGATTCTGATGGGCCGTACACGCCGCCGCCGCGGCTTGTCGCCCTCGCCGGCGCCGTCATCATGTTCCTTGTCCGCTATTCGTGGCTCCGCACGCCCAAGCGCGCCCGCCACTCGCGCGTCCTCCCGTTTGTCCGCATCTGCTCTGCCGTCCATCCGTACGATGTCCTCCGCCCGACCGCCGTCGCCTCGGGCGCCCAGCTCGCCGCCAAGCTGGTCGCTGCCGCTGCTGAGACCTCGCCGCCGGTCACTCCCCAGGCTGCCGAGCTTGTCTACGTCCTTCTCGACGGCTTTACCCCGCTCTCGGCCGCGCAGTCGGCAGCTCCTCTCCCGACCTGGCTCACCAAAGCCATCGCCACCGCCCTCCTTCACGTCGGCCTTGTCGAGCGCGCCGTTCTCATTCCGCACGCCATCCCGGCCCTGCTGCCGGGCAGCGAGCGGGTGCACTCACTGCGTGTGCGCGCCTCATGGCTCTCGCGCCTCTGGGCCCTTGTCTCCCACGATGCCCGCGCCGCCAGCCAGCGTGCTCTCATCGCCCGTCTCGCCACCTTTTTCGACTCGCGCTGGGCTCTCGAACACGTGGCGCTCTTCTCGGGCGTCGATCTGGCGACGCTCGCCCCGCTCGGCTGGGACCACGGCCTCGCGTTCGAGACCCTTGCCTGGTCCCCGTCCTCGTCGCTGTTCAAGCCCGACTACACGGCGTCGCGCCCGCTTCGCTCTCGGCCGTCGCCGGCCCGCCCGCCGCCGCGCCTGCTCGCTGGCCCTCAGCATGCCGGCGATGCCGAGGCCAGCGACGGTGCCGAGACCGAGGCCACGCCGCTCCTCGCTGCCCGGCCTTCGTTCCTCTGGTAACGTTGCGGCTGTCACGGTTTCTTTTACGCCTCATCGTCCGACGGCGGCGCGTCGACAAGTCCAAAGTCAGAGTCAGAGTCAGAGTCGGACATGGCCGGCGCCATCGACGCCGCCACGTTGTTCACGAGCGAGTCCGGGACGACGACGCCTGTGGTGATCGCTGCCTTTGGCACGGCGTCGACGGCCGGCGCCGCCTCGTCTCTGCCAGAGCTCACAACCGCCATCGGCTTGAGGTTGAGCGCCGGGATGGGGGCGCTCGGTGCAGCTGGCGTCGCGCTCGCCACTGGAGCTGGCGCGTCCCACACCGGCTTGGCGCGCTTGGCCGGCGGCTCGGGCTGGTGGCTCTCGGCCTCGGGCGCGAGCTCCACGGGCTCGAGCTTGCGCTTCCGCGATCCAACAGCGAGCGAGGCGAGCGGGGCGGTGTTGGCGGCAGCAGCTCCGGCGGCGGCGGCGGCGGCTGCCTCGGTGTGGACTGCGTGGTCGAGCTGAGCCTGGATTTCGCCGTGGGCGGCGGCAACGATCGGGCGCGAGGTGAGGAGCGGGACGCGCGGGTGCATGAGCGAGATGGCGAGGGCACGGCCGGCAGTGGCGGCGCGGAGGACCTCGGTCGAGGTCGTCGACGCCGACGCCAAAGTAAAGGCCTGCACGGCAAAGGCGAGCGAGGGAGAGGCGACAACCCGCGGGCGCATGAGGCAGGCGGTGAGCGCCTTGACGTACCCAGTGCGCATGACGTTAGAAATCTTAGCTGCAGGCTCCAACAGTGGGCCGATGCACGCAGCCTCGAGCGCGTCGTGGGTGGCCGACGGCAGGACGCCGCGGTAGCCGAGAGCAAGAGCCTCCAGCGCGTCGGCGGCGGCGACGGCGAGCGCCTCGGCGGCGACGGTGTGGATGGTGACGTGCGAGAGGGCGTGCGCCGGGTTGGTGGACGAGGTGGCGCCGGCAGCGCCGCCGCGCTTCCGGCGGCGACCGCCACTCAGCGTCGACGCCGTGCCCGAGGTGATGGCGGCCGGGATGAGCGCGAGGTCGGCGGTGAGGGCGGTGACGGCGGCGTCCAGGAGCGACATGGCGCCGTGCGTCGAGGCCGGCGCCACAAAGGGAAGGCGGAGGCAAAAGGCGGCAAAGACGTGGTACACAGCAGCGTGGTAGCCAGGCGATGCCGAGTGTGAGCCCGGACCCCGCTTGGCCATCACCGCCGTCCGCATGGCATCCGTGAGCGCCGAGTAGCGGGCAGACATCGCACCCATGCCCGGGAGCTCGACGAGCGTGCCCAGAAAGGCCACGACCGCCAGCTGCATGTGCGGAAGGAGGAGCGCCGCCTGCGCCGACATGAGCGACGAGGAAAACATGGCAGTGGCGAGCGCAGAGACGTCGACCGAGCCGGTCGAGCTCGACCGTGAGAGCTTGCCGACGTCGACGGCGAGGACGCGCGCGATGAGGCCGATCGACGCGTCGATAGGGAGCACAACAAGGAGCGAGGCGACGGTGCCCTTGCCGGCGCCAGCCGCCGACGACTTGAGGAGCGCAGTGAGGAGGGCGCAGAGCGAAGAGAACCGCGCCCGAAGCGCGTCGAGCTGGGTCAGCGGGTCGAGCTTGGCGAGGACGCGGGTGCGGAAGCCGGACGAGGCGTCAGCCTGGCTCTTGGCCCGCTGCCGGGCGTGCCCGCGGCCACCGCCGCTCTCCACCTCGGCCGACATCATCCCAGTCCCGTCGGGCACCCGCGGCGCCGGCGTCTCCTCGCTCCCTCCGCCGGGCACGTGGTAGCTCGGCGGGCCGCTCGGCCCGGCCCCGCGCGGCTTGCCGACCACAATGTCGAGAACGGCGTGCGCCCAGGCAAGGACCCGGCAGTACGAGCCGGACCACGCGGCGTCCGACTTGACGATGCGAGGAAGAGCGGCGAGAATGTGGACGCCAGTTTCTGCCAGCTGAGCGTCGGGTGCATCGAGGAGGGGGAGGGCCAGCGTCTCGAGGCCGGCCACAAACGGGCGGAGCGAGACGCCGAGCACGTCTACCGCCGCCGCCACCGCGTGCGCCACTGCGCTCATCAGGCTCGCCTCCTGCATCTTGGGCGAGAGAAGGGCAGTCATGAGGCCCGAGAGATGGAACGACGACGAAGACCGCGCGTCCAGATCGCCGAGCTTAGCCTTCTTGGCCGCGTGGCCCGACAGCACGTCCTTCTTGAGCTCGGGAATGGTGGCCAGGACGCGCAGCATGAGGCCGATGGCGCCGAGCGCAGCAGCGCGGACGTTCGGCTTGGCCACCACCCGCTGCGCCACCGCCGCCAGCGCCTGCAGCCAGGCCGGATACCGCGGCGCGAGCAGAGGCCGCCAATACAGGGCCCGGGCCGGCGTGAGGGCCACAATCTCGGCCAGGATGGTGTTGAGCACATCGATGCCTGCCGCAAAGACCTTGGGCAGAGTCGACGTCACCATAGCCGTCGTCGCCTTGAGCACCTTCTCATGTCCGCTTGTCAGCTCCTCGCTTCCCGGGTTGAGCAGCTCCCACGTGGTGAGCGTCTCGATGACCACCTCGACAGCCTCGACGGCCTCGAGCGGGCTGGCCAGGTAGCTGCTCACCATGTTGAGCATCCGCCGCGGCGCTTGGCTCGCCATCTGCTCAATGTATGAAGGCTGGACAAAGTTGAGTGTGGGTGGGCTGCGCTGCGCTGGGCGGGAGAGTGTGGGGAGAGGTGGAGGGGTAGGGGTGGGGTGGTGGTGGTGGGGGGTGTGAGAGTGATGCGGAGAGATGGAGGATGGATGGAGTAGTGGG